GGCCCCATTAAACATGTGGGAGAATAAACTAATTAAACTAATAAATCCATTATTTATGGCTTGTTTACTCTTCTTGAGGCCTGGAGGAGCACTTAAGTTTTTCAAAGAATTAGTTAAGTGGCGAGTTATGGAAGAGAACCTGGGTCGTAGAGGGAGCATGGGTATGGGCCACATTCTGAAGGCGCATGAAGTAGGGGACAGAGTTCTAGAACCTCATGGCTCACCAGCTCTGCCCCGTAACAGCTCTGTCTCGGCATGCAAGGATGCAGGTTGGAATAATTCAGCCCGTCACAAACGTCGGGCCCGTGAGTCACTCTGTGAGCCCCTCGGTGTCTCTGTCTCCAGGACCCACTAGATATTTGATTCTGGGAAAGCCCACAGCTCACGGCCTCAGAGTGGTCATCTGTGAAATGGGGGTAGAAAGCCATCTGCAAGGAGATTTGGATAGATGGGAGGCATCACCTGTGTGTGGTCCAGCACCCATACTCAGTACCAGACCATTTCCAGGATTCCTAGGAGGGGAAGGTCATGGGAAGTGAAGACATCAGTGAGTTAGTAACAGCATCTCAGGAGTAAGGAAGTTCTATTTATTTATTTATTTATTTATTTATTTTTTTTGAGAGAGAGAGAGAAGAGGGGTGGCGTGCAAAGAGAGAGGGAGAGAGAGAATCCCAGACAGGCTCCACCTCAGTGCAGACCCCGATGCGGGGCTCGATCCCAGGACCCTGGGATTATGACCTGAGCTGAAATCAAGATGTTGGCCAATGCTCAACCCAGTGAGCCACCCAGGGCCCTAGGAAGACCTGCTGTATAAAAGGTTACTACCGTTACTTAGGGTAGCGTGTTTGTTTATTCCTGGAGAGGTGACACTAAGTGGACCTGAACATACAAGCAGTTTAGAGTCAGGGAAATATTCTTCCGCCTTGGCTCCGTCTGTTCAGGGCCACAGCCCTCCTTCCAAGCTTGAGTCCTTAGGATCCGAGTGGGAAGATGTAAGGCAGCGCGTCGAGAACGGTGACAATGTCCAGAAAACTGATCTCCGTCGGAACACTCACTGAACCAGAGTTTGGCTGTTAGAGTCCCTCTAGCAGTGACTGTTGAGAGCCCAGTGCTATGTTAATGACAGATGAGAATCCGAAGGCCTGTCGTGGAGGAAGGAGAGAAATAAATACGTTTTCAGAAAGAGACCAGAGAAATCTGCGGCGATTAATACCTGGATTTGGCCTCTGAATGCTTGGCTCTCCCGGCGCTTGAGTGGAGATAAACGCTGGTCATTGCTAATTCCTTACATAAAATCCCATCTGAACAGAGGCGGGTGACAGCTTTGTTCACTTAAGATGCTCTTTTATTACGATGCTATAATTATAACGGAAAGGGCCCTTTGGCTGTCTTTATGGAGGCAGCGATCATAACAATAATGGAACCGCAGTTACAGGGGCTGCACTCGACCCTACCTTGGAGGGTGCTGTACAGAAGTGTCAGGGGCCGGGGCTGAGGCCACCAGCAAGGCTCTTAACATTAATGATTTTTTTAAGTTTATTTATTTGTTTCTTGAGAGACAGAGAATGAGTGTGGGAGGGGCAGAGAGAGGGGGAGAGGGAGAATCCCAAGCAGGCTCCGCACTGTCAGCTTGGAAGGTTCTTAGCAGAGGACCCAGCAGACAGGAAGAAAGGGGCCTCTGAAAGGAAGGATTCAGACCCACACAAGCGATCTTCATCACGTAGTTGACAGCCGCCTTTTGTCTGCGGCTAGCAGATCCGCAGCTTGCCGGTTTGTTCTAGACTGTGCAGTGCTAATAGCAGAGCCCCAAAGAGCTTAATCCTGCCGCTTGAGAAAACCAGGGTCTTCAAGCCCATCGGGGTCTCAGGTGCCATTTCACGCCCTCGCCTGTAGGTGAGTGGGTGTGGATCTCAGTTTACAAGCGTGGGTTTAGGAGAATTTTCCAAAACAGTAACTTCGCTTTCTGTTCTGCATCTCCATGCCATTTCTTTTCCAAGCCCCATCCAACCAAGCCTGGATGGGGGTTAGTCTCAGCCCCCACCCGCCCGCGTTCCTGTGTCCAGGACCAGAGGCAAAAGTAGCATTAAGACATTGAATCCTCGGGGCGCCTGGGTGGCTTAGTCGGTTAAGCGTCCGACTTTCGCTTAGGTGATGATCTCGCGGTTCGTGGGTTCGAGCCCCGCTTCGGGCTCTGTGCTGACTGCCAGCTCAGAGCCTGGAGCCTGTTTCAGATTCTGTGTCTCCCTCTCTCTCTCTGACCCTCCCCTTCTCACGCTGTCTCTCTCTCTCTCCTAGAAATAAATAAAAATATTAAAAAAAAAAAAAAGACACTGCATCCTCAACTTGGTCCAAAGAAGCCGGTGTCCTTGACGCCATAGCTCGGATTTAAATCCTCGCCTGGCTCCGAATTTTGCTCTACGATCTATACTCCTTCTCTGCATATGTGGGTAGTTGGATTGGAGCCAAGTAGGAAAAGTAACTTCTAGCAAGTGGAGACTGGCCCCGTTGCCTGTAATCCATTTAGGCAGTAATGTTTCTCTGCATGTGTCAAAGCAAAGAACATTTTGTATGTGAGTTTTAGCCACTCAACTGTGTTTGTTTTCCTAGCCAGTGAGTGCACTCATCTCATTTATCTCAGGGCCTTCTCTTCCTAATATTGTGAAGCGGATTCAACAGGAACGTTCATTTATAAACGAGAAAGTGACCAAGTCTCTGGGATTTTCGGGGTTTGCCTTTGTTAAGTGCAAACCAGAGATGCTAGAGTTTTCCTGGCTCTGAGGTGTGGCCAGTGCAGTCAGAACGGAAACATAGTTCCTTTCACGTCGGTTTCCCCTAATCTTCGGAATGATACCTATTGTAAATGTGAAATTTTACTTTATTCACTTCTAAAACCGCCCTGGGCCGTGCCATGGCGCTAAATCATCAGTGTCTCTTCTTTCTAGAAACTGGATATTTCTGCCCCGAAGGCCGCTCTGCACTCGTGGAGGACCCACCCGCGGGCAAGAGCCGTTAAATGGAAGACGCTTCCAGGAGTGTTGCAGCGCCCACCCCCGCTGGGAAGCACCACGAGGCTGCACGTACCAGGACCGTTCTGGCACAAGCGGTGTGAACCTTACTGCTGGCTGACCTCCGATGAGTCAAGGAGCTTTCATTTGCAAAATAGGGAGACTGCGGTGTGCACACAAATAGTCACTGTGAGGACTGGAGATCGTAGCGTGCGCTTTCTCTGAAAGGGAAGGATGAGGAGCGTGGTGCAGAAACAGCCATGCGAGTAGATCTCCATGTATTGATGGGGAACAGCATTTAAGATTTATAACTGAGCAAGACAAAGTGAGGGCCAGGACTCAGGGTAGGGTCTGTCCCATACGTCTATTTTTAACGGTGGTAAATACTTGGATATGCACCGCATATAGTTCTGGAAGAGCACGCACACACAACTGAATAACGACTCTGTGGAAAGCAGGGGGTCGCGGAAAAGCTGTAAGATAACGTGAAGAAAATTTAAAAAATTGTACTTTCGCCCTGTATGCTCCTTTGTGCTGTGTAATTTACTTTTATCATGGGCATTATATTTTTATCACGGATACATATGGGTTTATTTTATTGTCCCCTCCTTAAATAACAATAACAGAGTGTATATTGCAAAACATGTCTCCCCTTTGTGCCTGACGTCAGCCTACGGACTTACTCCATGTTGTTTCATTTAATCTTCATGGCATTCCCCCAGGAAAGGGATCTATTAAATAGTCCTGTTTTGCAGATTGAGAAATGGAGGCTGGTGGCTTAAACATTACCTGCGGACACACAGATACACAGATGTCACACTGCGTGCTAACCGTCCACACTCACCGATGACTGCCAGACTCCGAGCTCTTTCCATTTCAAACAGGCTCTGGGCTCCATCTTGCGCATGTACATTTCTGACCCAGGAGTACACATCTCTAGTGTTTTAAAGGTTATTTCAAGGAAAACTAGGCTATAAATGTAAGATAATTTCCAGCAGAAAAGTTTTTATTGGAGTTTAAGCACCTCAGACTTATTTTGTGTTTTAACTTTTTTCAGTATCAATAACCAAAGAAAGAAATCTTATTCATTTTTCCAAATTGCTGAAATTATTTAAAAATTTTTTTAATGTCTTTATTTTATTTTGAGAGAGAGACAGAGTGCAAGTGGGGAGGGGCAGAGAGAGAGGGAGACACAGAATCCGAAGCAGCTCCAGGCTCTGAGCTGTCAGCACAGAGACCGATGCAGAGCTTGAACCCACGAACCGTGAGGTCACCACTTGAGCCGAAGTCGAACGCTCCACCAACTGAGCCACCCAGGCGCCCCAGTTTTTAAAAAACAGCAGTTTTGTTTTTCACAGCAGCTAATTTCTGGAGCCACGGTACCATTTTGGACTGAATTGCCTGATGATAATTTGCATATCATTAAGTAATTGCTTGCAAATTTCACTAGTAAAGTGCAGCTTGGAGCAGTGACATTTTCCTCAAGCAAGTCATTCAGTGAAGGCAGCTTGCATTTACTGATCTAAAATTAAGTAAATATTTGACAAAATCCACTGTGTGTCTGACTTGGGGGAACAAAAGGAACTCAGTCTCCGGGGCTGGGCGTAAACTTCCCGGAACTGTCACGTTTCACTTGGTAAATCTTGCTATACGTGGTTAACCTTAACAGTAATTACAATCTCTCTCTCTCTCTCTCTCTTATTTATTTATTTATTTATTTATTTTTTTGCAAGAAAGTATCTGGATGGAATACTTAGTGATGGCATTCAAAATCTACGTTTTTCCTGTTCTCGGATTGCTCACTAGGAGAAAAGGAAGCGATGGGTCTCATAAGTAAAACAATACTAATTTAGCATAGCCTTAGAGAAACATAAAATTTTCTATTTACTTACTTAAGGACAAGAAATATGAAGCTATTTACTAATGATGACTAATCTTCTTTTCGGTTCTGTATTAGGGCCCATGAAGGACGAGAGCTAAGGGAGAGAGAAACAGCCCACAGAAAGAAGACAGACTGGCGGCCCAGGCAGGAATCGCGAGCCCCGGTCTGCCTGGCCCGGGCCCCATCCCACAAGGAACATTTACTCCAGCTGCCGAGGGAGACAGAAGAGCTGCGTGGTCTCATTCTGCTTCACCCGCGAGTCGGTCAGAGACGGGAGAATCAGGGGCGAAGGAAGCAGGAGAGAAACACACAGGGAGGCATCTGGACGGGGAAGGGGACTTCCAGCTTGTGGAAGGGATCCGTCGGGGAGCGTACAGAACGGTTTTTCTTTTTTCTTTTTAATTTTTTTAATGTTTATTCATTTTTGAGAGATGGAGAGAGACAGCGCGAGTGGAAGAGAGGCAGAGACAGAGGGAGAGACAGAATCTGAAGCAGCTCCAGGGTGTGAGCTCCGAGCCTGGAACTGTCTCTCTCTCCGTCCCTCCCCTATTACATTCTCTCTCTTAAAAATAAACAAACATTAATTGAAAAAAATAGAATGGAGGGGCGCCTGGGTGGCTTAGTCGGTTAAGCGTCCGACTATCGCTAAGGTCATGATCTCGCGGTTCGTGGGTTCGAGCCCCGCGTCGGGCTCTGTGCTGACTGCCAGCTCAGAGCCTGGAGCCTGTTTCAGTCTGTGACTCCCTCTCTCTCTGACCCTCCCCTGCTCACGCTGTCTCTCTCTCTCTCCTAGAAATAAATAAAGCATTTAAAAAAAAAAAAAGAAAAAAATAGAATGGAATAGAATAGGATAGGATAGGATAGGATAGGATAGAATAGAATAGAATAGAACAGAACAGAATAGAATAGAATAGAATTTATAGGCGAGAAGTTTGGGCCAAGAATTTCTGTCTGTTTGTCCAAATGCTCAGTGGGTTAATCGCCTAACTCTTGATTTCGGCTCACGCCGTGATCTTGAACTTTGTGCGGCGACTCTGCATTTACAGGAGCACCTGTGGCCCTTACAGGGCCCACACCTGCGGGTCACGGGTGTGCAAGCCGACGTGCCAGGCTGAGCTCCCCGGGAAGGTTTCTGGCTGACAAAGGAAGGGGTTCAGGAGGAGGCGACCACACTCTCCATCCATTTCTGCTGCAAACGCATCCTCCGCTCCAGGACTGCTCAGGGGTAAGTCATGTTTTCCAGACTTTTGAGGGAATGAAAGAATGTGAGACCAAGTGAGTGATGAGTCCCAGGAGGTGAGTATCGGTGGATGGGAGTTAATCACCTCCACGAAGTCCATCTTCTGTCCATCAGACTGAGTTACAACGGGGAAGACAGGTGGGACCACACAGCGACCGTAGGGGACAAGGCTTGGGCGTGTCCCCTGAAGTGGGGACCCATCCTAACGTCAGCCTCAGTCCTCCAGGACATGGACTTCAGGGCACAGAGGACGTCCCTTGCGAGTGCCGCCTGTGAAGGGGAGGGGAAGGGAGGCTCGGTGGGAAGGGAGACACTTACTGTCGTGCAGGTATGGCTTCTGCCCCCGGAGAGGGTCAGGTGGGCAGACCCCAGACCCGAGCGCAGTGCTGGGAGCACGGGCCAGCCCGGCTGGGGCCCCTGTGCACAGAACCCCGCCAGGGACAGGTGTCCGCTTGGGTGACACGGCCTGGCCCGCCCCCAGCTGTGCTGCTCAGGGGCACAGGGGACAACCGGCTGCACCCCAGGCACCTGCCAGTGACTGTCCTTCCTAAAGGGAGACCTGACCACAGCCCAATGGCACATCAGCCACACATGCCTTTCCAAAATATTTGATGTGAAATATCATGTGATATTACTGTTTTATTAATACTATAAAGTACCATGTAAAAATCCCCTAATAGCCAATCATTTTAGGAAAATCAAGTAGACCATGTAAATAAAAAATAAGACAAACAAGCTGCTCAGTCCCTATGCCACTCAAAGTTTAGGGGCGTCTGGGTGGCTCACTCAGGTAAGCATCCGACTTCGGCTCAGGTCATGATTTCCTGGTTCAGAAGTTCAAGCCCCGCGTCAGGTTCTGTGCTGACAGCTCAGAGCCTGGAGCCCACCTCGGATTCTGTGTCTCCCTCTCTGTCTGCCCCTCCCTCGCTTGTGTTCTCGCACTCTGTCAAAAATAAATAAACATTAAAAAATTAAAAACAAAACATTTGAGTATTTCAGTGTTATTTCCACGGACACGTAAACCTGTCCCTAAGGAGATCTGTGAGGTGGGAGAGTTACAACAGCGTTGCTTTCAATTGTTAAGTAATTTCGGTTTCAAATAACATTGTAAATATGACGTCACATGTGCAAAAGATAAGATCCCAAACCAATTTTTTTTTTTTTTTTTTTTTATTTCTAGGAGAGAGAGAGATAGCGTGAGCAGGGGAGGGTCAGAGAGAGAGGGAGTCACAGACTGAAACAGGCTCCAGGCTCTGAGCTGGCAGTCAGCACAGAGACCAACGAGGGGCTCGAACCCACGAACCGCGAGATCATGACCTAAGCGAAAGTCGGACGCTTAACCGACTAAGCCACCCAGGCGCCCCGATCCCAAACCAATTTTAACAGGCAACAATGAAGGAGGTTACCGTGGTTCTCTGATTTATGACACACGGGTGTCGGGCCGAGTTTCCACGATGCACCCGCGTCTTACAGACCGAACTCTATTGCAGCCTGGTCATGGCATTCGGAGCCTGCGCTGAACTCTGCTGACCGGAAGCAGTTTTCTAGCATAGGCCTCATTTGCGGGGCTATAATGCTCAGCTCCACAAGGTATGTGAGAACCTCTCAGAGGCCAAGCCAGTAGCTTTTTACCGCATCTCCTCTACTAAAAGCAATACCCCATTTGTTCTTTGAATCCCCTGCATCTTCTGAATTTGAAAAGACATCTGCTGCCCCTCATTCCCGGTCAGTTCTGGATGACCGCGTGCCGTTCAGACAACAGGCACACGGCCGGGCAGGAGCGGGTTTCAGTAAAAGCCTAAAAATTAAGACTTGAGTTGTTTCCCCTGACTCTGCCCCCGAATTAATTAACAGCACTTGCAAAAGCCTTTTCGTGGAAATAAGCGAGCAGGTGGCCACGATTCTTTTTATTTGTCACATTGTGAGCCTGTCGCTGTGACTTCCGTGATTTTTCTTCCTCTTCGATACCTTTTTAACAAAACCTTTGATGTACAGTTATTTATATTGCGTGGGTTTTCTCTGTCAGCCATTTACATGGGAAGATTTAGTGAGAAATGAAATCACTGTTTCCCTATTTGCAAGAAAGGTAATGAGCAAAAATGTGAACTTCTTGTCACACACAAACAAACACACGTGCGCGCACACACGCACGGCATTTGTGGAAATGGTGGGGATGGATGAGCTGTGGTTTTGCACTGCAGCCTGCGTGGCCTTCTTCTCGGTCATCTTGATGCCGTCAGAACAGTAAACATTCTCTCCCTTGGAAAAAAGAAAAGAGGGAATCTAAGACCCTCAAGAAAGTAGAAAGACAGACGGTATCAGATGTTAACACAAAACTGAGTAAGTTCCAAGAAGGAAATACTTGTATTAAATAGTGAAGAGAGGTGCTGTTTTCTAGTAACGAAATGTTTTCCTTTTTCTTCTGCTCCTGTTTTCTTTTCCCACTTAAAGGAGTGCATGACAGTGACCCTGGCGATGAGTTGGGATGTGTATACGTTTGGTTTTGACATCCAAGGAATGAAATGGGTGCCTTTCCTGCCCTTCTGTGGACATGAGCCATCACAGGCGCCCACTTCCATAGAATAACCCTCCCCCCTTTTATGGCTCCTGATAGTTTTACCGTATTTCTTTGCTGTCAAGGCCGCGCTGGACCACAGACATCACGGCCACCACCACCATCACATCCACCGTCACCGCCAAGGTTTGCACCCGTATCTGCCTCCAGGTCACTCCCAAGGATCTGCTCCCAGGAATAACCCGGTTGCTCCATCTCTTGGTTCGAATGCTGACTTTGCCTCCAAGTGACCGTGTGGTTTCCAGGAGGTCACCCTGTCCATTCTGGCTGCCCAGGTAGCCATCTCTCGACTCAGGACCCTGCAGGAGGTGATGCTTAACGTTTCTTCCAGCTAGAACTACCTGTGCCCATCATTTGCCAAAGTGACATTTATAAAATACCTGAAGGCTACATGGCAGCCTCAGCAGGAAGAATTATATTTCCTGTGAAACACAGGGCGGTAAACATGTAAAAATCGACACCACGCCGCATGTGCATGCACAAACGCAAGTAATAGAGAGGGTTCCCACTTTAAAATGTTCTTTCAGGGATGCCGTGGGCGGGGGTGTAAGTGGATAACAGTCCGACTCTTGATTTTGGTTCAAGTCATGATCTCAAAGTTCGTGGGTTCAAGCCCCACGTCGGGCTCTGCACTGACAGCCTGGAGCCTGCTTGGGATTCTCTGTCTTTCTCTCTTTCTGCCCCTCTCTGTTCTCTCTCTCTCTCTCTCTCTCTGTCTCCCACTGTTTCTCCAAATAAGTAAATACACATTTAAAAAATAAAATAAAGTTTTCTTTCAAAGTTGTGAGATATTCATTCACTGTTTTCCTAAGTAATTACCAGGTATCTCAATTAGGTTTTGATAACCAACCAAACCCTAAGTGGCTTAAAAGAGCAATCATGAACTAGAGCACATTCTGTGAGCGTTGCTCACAATTCTGCAGGCTGGTGGCTTGGCCCAGGTTTGGCTGGACAGCTTGCCCATGCCTCCTACGGTGTGGGCTGTCATCAGGCAGTTCTCGTGTCTACTGACAACTGGCCATACTCACATGTCGTTCATGATGCAAAGAAAAATATGATCCGTAAGGAGGAGAACATCAATCCATAGAAATAGACACAGAGATGAGACAGCATAGAATCAGCAGAAGCTATTAAAATAGCTGTTGTGAAGGTGCTCCATGTGCCCAAGGAACTGCAGGTACATGTGTTAGTAGAGATATGGAAAGAAAGACCCAAATTAAACTTCTAGAAATGAAGCATAGATAGATAGATAGCTCTCTTAGGCCAGATAAATATTGCAGACTTTAGGCCAGATGGTCTCTGCTGTGATCCATCGCCTCTGCTCTCGCGTGGGCAAGCACCTTGAAAGTTAAGTGAAGCCTTGGGAACAGCGCCTTCCAGCCAGACTCTATAAAAGCAGTAGGTAGATTCGAGTTGGCTCTCGGGCCACGGTTTGCAAGACCATCTTTAAGCTGCGGAGACCTGAGGATCAGTAACCCAGCATGGCCTCACCCATCTTGCTGGACCCAAGAACCACCCTTCCCTGGACACCCTATTAGGTACGCAAACACGATGCTGAACAAGGGCGTCTCTAACCTCAAGGAACCGGGTGTCTGGTAAGAATGGCTACGAAGTACTGGAGAGCCAGTGCCCTTGGAGTAGCTTATGGATGCTGTCACCTAGCATCACAGAAGATGAATATTCTACTCAAACGTGTCTTGGCCTCATATGCATTTCCCCCAATATACCTCGTTGTTGTAATAACCTCTCATTCATGACAGAACTGAATGACTGCTCACCTTCCTGGACTTTTCCTGCTGCCTTTCTTCTCACCCACCCCTAAAAGTGAGCATGGGAGCCGCCCCGGGTCCTGTCCGCCAGCAAGTGTGCTGTGCACATATGCTTCTTTGGATCCAGCTCTCCCTTCAGACAGGGATCCATCCAGTAAATAGCAGACAAATTTGATGTCTTGAGTCATTTGCAAGTAGTCTTCTAAGTCACCACTGAGCTTGGAAGAAATGTGTACTCTTCAGGACGCAGACATGCATTTAGATCATCTTATCACCCCCATATGTGAATTCCAAACTATCTAAAGAAATTGACTTCAAGATAGCATTAGGGTTTTTACATGGATGGTGGGATTCGGTGTAACAATCACTTTTCTTTTTTTCTTTTTTTAATATTTATTTATTTTTGAGAGACAGGGGGTAGGGGAGGAGCAGAGAGAGAGGGAGACACAGAATCCGAAGCAGGCTCCAGGCTCTGAGCTGTCAGCACAGAGCCCGACGTGGGGCTCAATCCCATGATGAACAAGATAATGACTGACTGAACTGCCCAGGCACCCCTAATAATCACTTTCCTATGTACTTTTTGATGTCTTCCAAATTTTCTCTAGAGAATGTATATTACACTGATACTAAAAAAGGAATTTATATGAAAGGACATGAATTGCTATTGCTATTTTAATAAGTCTTCTGATTATTGGACACCTGCTGCATTTGGCACCAACTGCACATTCGACGTCTGCAGAATTCTCCAGAGCTAAGTTGGTGAATTGGGCTCGAGCTTCTATGCACACTCCCCCCCCCATACCCCCCAGAGAGAGGTTTGCCTCAGGTTACTTGGTGAGAGGAGGTCAGAGAGCAGAGCTTTGTGTCAGAGAGTTAGGACTGATTATTTTTTTTAATTACCTTCTTTTTTTTCTTATGTTTTTATTTATTTCTGAGAGAGAGAGAGAGAAAGCGTGAGCAGGGAAGGGTCAGAGAGAGAGGGAGACACAGAATCTGAAAACAGGCTCCAGGCTCTGAGCTATCAGCACAGAGCCTGACGCAGGGCTCGAACCCACGAACAGCGAGATCATGAATTGAGCCGAAGTTGGACGCTTAACAGACTGAGCCACCCAGGCGCCCCAAGTTAGGAGTGATTATTAACATCCGCTTTGGACATAGGAGGGGTGGGCGTGGCCCTGCACCTTGCTGCCCCAAATTTACCGCGCCGAGCTAAGACAAGAGTGATTATGCATCCTTACAGACGCTGTAGGCGTCCACCTAAATCATTTTTGTTTCACAGAAGAAACTCCATGTTAGCAGAATACATAGAAAGCCAGTACTGCGACTCACCCTTCTACCATGAAGTCCTCACCAGCCTGAGTCTAACGTGTGACACTCAGAGCACTAGCTGAACGGCACCAGGTAGCAGAGACTGAACGAGGCCCTAGACACGATGGCGTCTCTCTTATTACCACTGCGTGAGTAACACTGAAGGCAATATTAAAAATGCCACTGAACATGTATTCATAGATGCAAATCATGTTTCCAGAAAATAAATTGGGAAATTAAATTCATCAGCTCAACCCTAAGCTAAAAATTACATGATGAATCCTTACTCTGTTTTCCTTTAGGCAGTGGATAGACTCTCCAAAATTTGAATCTGATGGGTTCCTAAATGAATTGTTCCAGGAAAGCAATACTTTCAATCTTGCATATTTTACCACAATCGCAGGGCAGGAAAGCCATTTAGTCACCCAGTTAGGGGTGCGTTCTCACAGAGTAATTTATTTCTCCCCATCTAAATGACGTTGTATCACCCTTCAAAATTATCCCTTTTGATAGCATTATTGAATTGTAATTGACCAGTATTAAATTTTGTATATTTAAAGCGTACAACTGGATCCGTTTCTACATTTACGTCCACGAAAGCTTTCCCACGATCAAGAAGACATGTGTCCGTGGCTCTCAGCGTTTCTCATTGTCCCTTCCAGACTCTTTCCTTCTGCCCTCAGCAACTGCCGATTGGCTTCCTGTTGTTGATTAGTTGACATATTTTATTTTATTTTATTTTTTAATATTTTTATTTATTTCTAGGAGAGAGAGAGAGAGACAGCATGAGCAGGGGAGGGGCAGAGGGAGAGGGAGTCACAGACTCTGAAACAGGCTCCAGGCTCTGAGCTGGCAGTCAGCACAGAGCCCGACGCGGGGCTCGAACCCACGAACTGCGAGATCATGACCCAAGCGAAAGTCGGACGCTTAACTGACTAAGCCACCCAGGCACCCCGATTAGTTGACATATTTTAAAGTTTATACAAATGGAATGACGCAGCCCCTCTTGCCTGCCTCCTTCCGCTCAGCACATTTGTTTGGACATCCCCTCCTGTGGTTGGGGAGAGCGATTGTCGATTCCTTCTCACTGCTGAGTAGTAAGGACTCCGTCCTAAGGCTGCGCTGCCACATATCTGCGTACCTGTTGATGGACCTTGGAGATGTTTCCAGTGATCAATCTGTACACAGTCACATAAAATGTGTGAACACCTCCTTTTATTTCTCCTGGGTAAACACTTTGGGGTGTAGTAGTTGAGTCATAAGGTAAGCGCATATGCCACTTTTAAAAAAGAAATCGCCAGACTGATTCCACACGTTCCAAAGAAAGTGCATTGTTACATCTGCACAAGGAAGGTCTGAGGGTCACAGTGGTCCTGCAGCCCAACCAAGAGTTGACATGGTCACTGGTTTTAATCTTGGGTATTCTTCTTTAAAATCTTTTTTTAAAATGTTTGTTTATTTGTTTGTTTATTTATTTATTTATTTTGAGAGACAGAGAGAGAGAGGGAGGGAGAGCAAGGGAGGGGCAGAGAGGAGAGAGAGAATCCCAAGCAGGCTCTGTGCTAACAGCCCTGAACCTTGATATCATGACGTGAGCTGAAATCAAGAGTCAGATGCTCAACCTACTGAGCCACCCAGGTGCCCCTAACTTGGGGTTTTTTAATAGTAATAGCAGCAGAGTGGTGTCTCTTGTGGTTTTAATTTGCATTTCCCCTGTGGCTAATGATGTTTAGCATCTTTACAGACTTTATTTTACATCTTACTTTTTAAATGTTTATTTGGTTCTTTTGAAAGAGAGCACAAGCTAGGGAGAGAGAGTGAGAGACAGAGAGAGAATGAGAGAGAGAGAGGAGAGACTGAGAATCCCAAGCAGGCTCTGCACTGTCAGCACAGAGCCCGACACAGGGCTTGATCCCACGAACCTCAAGATCATGACTTGAGCCGAAATCAAGAGTCAGACGCTTAACTGCCTGAGCCACCCAGGCATCCCAATTTTCCATCCTTTAAAAATGTTTTTTGTTAGGTTACCTGGCTTCATATTATTTGAGGGGAGTTTTTCTGTGCTGTGGACGCAGGCCCTGTGTCAGACGCATGCAACATTCAGAGCATTTACACCTGCCTATGTCTTGTCTATTTATTCCCTTAACAGCTGCTTTTGAACAGCAGGTCTTAATTTTCTTAAGTCAGATGCATGCTTGTATTCGTGCGTTGTGTGTAGTAAAGGACCCTCTGACTTGCGTGTCAGCTGACAAAATTTTCTCCTACATTTCCTGAGCAGCCCGGGTCTATGGCCGGCATTGAGTTCGAGCCCCTGTACGATGGGGAATGAGTAAGGACATAGAATTCTTGCAGCTCTCCCTTCTCAGCCCCACAAGCCCTGGTCTCCCGAAGCTCTGCCTGGCCGTCCGCTTCCACCTCGCAGCCTGGACACCCTCTCGGGCAGCCCTTACTCTCCCCTCTCCGGGACCGCCGTCCCACTGCCTGACGCCCAACGTCCGAAACTCCCGTTTCATGGATTTTCTCCTCTTGTCCATGTTGTCGA